CGCATGAGCTGAAATAGCGCAGAATTCGGTAGGACGGTCGGAATGGCTTAATTGCATCAGTAACTACATGTTTATAATAAAAAAGGGAAGGAGTTGTGACGAAAACAGAGTGCATAATTTTGTGTACCATTCGTCTGGATCTGGAATAGTAGTAGTGCATACAAAATTTAGACGTGTACAATGGGCATGATCGTGGCTTTCAAAGCTTCGCTTCGTCATGACAATCTAGAAGGGCTGAAGTTATCTTAGCATGCCATCCAATTCGATAAACAGACAAAAAGGTGAGGGTGCAGAGATGACAGTATAACCCACCTGACTTGCATCGAAAGCCGTAACACACAAGCATTTTGAGGTAAAACTAGGACAATTTCATGCAGCGGCTACATGAAGCAATCGCAGAAAGTGTGACTTAATTGGTGTAAATCAGGTGATTTAAAGAGCGCGGATGTAAACTGGAAATCAGGTGGCGTTCAGAGACGGAGATCCTAATGAAAACAACTCCGTGCAGTTTGGATGCCCTCATTGTGATTGACCGAAATGTCATGATAGAAAATCAAAATATGGATTATAGAATGACTGCGCCAAATCAAATGGTACAGGCGACGAGGTGTGGGAAGCCTGCTAGGCTGCGTCATAAATAAGGTTGCCCTGTGGTGGGGACCTTTTATATTGAACTAAGAGGTTTCCGATAGTGAATCGTATCCGTGACAGATATATAAACAAGCGGGATACGAGAAGTGGAGCACCACAACAGATGGTAAAGGAAGGCCATAGATAGGGGCGGTCTGCTGGAGAGAAGCAGAGACGCAACTTGGCGGCAGTGGACCTGGCCCAATTGGTCAGCAACATAAAGTGTCGCGAGCACAGAATCAGTGAAGAGACAAAAAAACGGGACGTGGTCCATGAACGCAAACGTTATAAGTGAAGCAAAGGAATGTACAACATTTAGAAAGGAACCCCGCAACCACTAGTTGGAAATAAAACAAAGCCATCGCAATGAGGCTGGATCTTACCGTGGTGCGATGGTTTATGTGCCTCAGCGATCCATTGAGCTATGCTGGGTGGTGCATTTTTGCACATTCAGAGGCACTCATACCAGATTGGTCAATGGTTAGAGGCCAGACAAACTCAGCCTCCTGGTCCTCCAGGTTGGGGGTTGGAATGAGGGTGGCTCCTTATTCCTTAAAACGGACTCCTTGTAGCCCAACGCCAAACCCGCTGCCTTGCGGTAAGGTTTTTGAACCAAAGGCTTTGGTTGAGAACCCTAATCGTTCTCCTGTCTAGGCCTGGGCAACCTGACAGTATCCTGCCCACGCAATACTATTAATCATTCGTCAAACAATTTCTTGATGCTCTGACCACCGCAGAGAATAATCAACGGTGCCCTATCTGCTGCATCGAGCAGGGTGGATAGGGGCTTGGATGCTACTGCTCAAGCCTTCCCGTCTTCTTATTCCCCCTCTTACGCTTTTTCTCCCTTATGGTCCGGTTCCAACTTCACCTATATCCCCCCAGTTTTCAACCCCCGATTCTTGGCCCTCCCCCAACTTGCTTTGCTAGGCATTTACCTTCTAATTTCAACTCACATGCTAACACGGAGCGTCACTCCTCTCCTGTCGACAAGCGCACGTCCAACCAAGTGGTCCATTCCAGTTCATCGCCTTCCATTTGGAGCCCTCGATCCTCCTTCAGACTGGCATGCCTCAATGTACGCACATTACTACAGATCGGTCAACAGGAAGCACTTGCTCGAACATTGGAGACCCTCTCGATCGATATCTGCTGCTTATCGGAGACCCGCCTGCAAGACTCGAGCTCTGTGCTCACTCTGCGATCCCCTTCAAGTGACGCAAGCAGTGTTTTCTCATTGCGCCTACCCGGTGACGATGCAGCTTCGAGCACCGGCCAAGCTGGTGTTGGCATTGCCCTGAGTCCCGGGCTGAAGCTGCTCTGGTTGATTGGATTCCAATCAGTAGCCGGATGTGTGCGGTCCGATTGGCTGGCTCGTTCAAAGCTTCGAAGTCGCGCGGGACTAATAGATGTCTATTCATCATCGCTGCCTACGCGCCCACAAACTGTAGCGATGATTCGGTAAAGAACGACTTCTACCGCCAACTGACCCAGCTCCTTCGCCACAGAAGAAGCACGGACACTGTTGTGCTGGCGGGGTTTCTGAACGCATAAGTTGGAAAGTTGTCCACTGATGAAATGCATCTGGGCGGTCAGCACGGTGTAGGCTCCCGTAATGATAACGGTGAGCGGTTAGTTCATTTGTGTGAAGATGCCCGCTTATTTCTTGCGAGCACTAATTTCCGACACAGCACCCGCCGGAGGGTGACTTGGCGCCCACCAGCCTCGAACCTGCCTTGGACGCAGATCGATCACATTGCTATTAGTTACCGCTGGAGATGCTGCATCCAGAATTGTCGCTCGATTTGGAGCACATGTGTGGACACCGATCATGCACTTGTATGTGCTGACATGCGGATGCGTTTTGGCGCACGTCCACGAGGACGATGTGAGCGCATTGACACCAGCCAACTGACAAAGTCAGCTGTTCTGAATGCGTATCGAAGTACGCTGACATACGAGTTGAGTAAGCGCTCACTGGGGACAATTGATGGTCACTGGTCACATGTTCACCAGATCTTACTAGCAGCAGGCAAATCCTCATGTGGTATGTCTAATAGCCAACATGGTTATTGGGTCTCTTCGCAGTCTCTGGAACATATCGATGATCGCCGGCATATCCCGGTTGGAAGCGAACACAATGAAACTCGCAAAGAGCTCCGGGCAAGACTTCGTGCTAGCCTGAAGAGAGACCGCGAATTTTGGTGGTCTCACCGTGCGTCAGAGATGAAAGTGGCCGCTGCTCTTGGTAACCACCGTAAGTTATTCCGTCTGATACGGGAAACGGGCAGCAGGAGACCTGGTGTTAGTGAAACTATACGTGACGAGAGTGGACAGCCTATCCACAATTTGTCAAAACGTTTGGAGCGTTGGGCTGAGCATTTTGAAAAGCAATTTAATCGGCCAGAATTGTTCGATTCTTCGCCGGCCAGTGATCGCCCTGCTCCGTGGGCTGTCCCTTTGGATCCACCCTCTTGCTCAGAAGTCGAACATGAGATCGGACTGTTGAAGTTGAACAAAGTCGCGGGACCAGATGATCTTCCTCCAGCCCTCTTCAAATTCGGAGGCTCTACTCTTGTTGATGCTTTACATGAATTACTAGTGAAACTGTAGGAGCAGGAGACTGTCCCAACCGACCGGAGCCGCTCCGGTCGCGTTCGGAATGCGGCAGCCATAGAGGAATCAGTCTGATCTCCATCACCTCCATAATTCTTCACAGACTGACTGGCGCTCGTGAAAGCCAGATTCGTGAGGAGCAGGCCGGGTTTCGTCGGGGACGTGGCTGCATCGACCACATCTTCACCTTGCGTCAGTTGTTGGAGCACCGTCACACATATTGGCAGCCCACCGTAGTCGTGTTCCTCGACATCAAAGGTGCCTTCGATTCGGTTGATCGATGTGCCCTTTGGAATTGTCTACTCAGGAAAGGTGTGCCCGAGAAATATGTAAATATTATCCAAGCATTATACGCGCGTAGCTCGGGCAGAGTGAGGGCTTACGGCAAGCTGTCGCCACCATTCAATATCTCCAGCGGTGTGAGACAAGGATGCCCGCTGTCACCTTTCCTTTTCAACTTCGCTATTGACGAAGTCATGGAGATTGCACTTACAGGACATGACTTGGAAGGTGTGGAGCTACTCCCAGGAGAACGACTTCTTGACTTGGAGTATGCAGACGACATTGCCCTCATCTGTGACAGCTCCCAGACATGCCAAGCCGCGCTGGACAGATTAGCACTGGCTGTCAGCCGCTTCGGGCTTTGCTTTGCACCATGGAAATGCAAAGCGTTCCTCCAAGATTGGCAGGAATCGCCTCCTGCGCTGACCCTTGGTGGGGATCAGCTAGAAGTCGTTCGGAAATTCAGCTACCTGGGAAGTTGTATCAGCGCCCTTGGGATCGAAGACGAGATCACGAACCGTATAGCAAAAGCTCGAAGTGCTTTTGCTAACCTTCGCCACCTATGGCGGCGGCGCGACATTACTCTCGCCCTGAAGTGTAGAGTGTACAATGCAGCGGTACGTTCAACCTTACTGTACGGTTGCGAAACCTGGCCCCTAAGATCGGCGGACATGAAGAGGTTAGTTACGTTCGACCATCGGTGCCTTCGCAGTTTGGCTCACATCTGGTGGGAACACCGCGTGAGTAACGAGCGTGTTCGACGCCTTGTTTACGACATAGGAAAAGGAACTGAATCGCTCAGCACCGTCATTTCACGCACCAGGCTCCGATGGCTGGGCCACGTGTTGCGCATGCCAGCCCACCGACTTCCATGACGTGCGTTGTTTGCTCACCGGGGATGTGAATGGAAGAAGAGGAGGGGTGGCCAAGCGATGACTTGGTCAAGAGGAATGAAAGCCCTCACAGCACAGAAGTGCTGGCCTCGGTTGGAGCGTCACGGCTCCCTGGTTGGGGTCCAAAAGACGGTGAACACGTTTGGCTGGATACACTTGCTGACATGGCAAGGAGCCGACCTCAGTGGCGTTCCTGCTGTGAGTTTCTTTGTCGCTCCTCATCCCTTTTAGCCTCCCCCTTAACCTACGATCTCATTTCTTAGCGTAAAACAATTTTGTTCTTCTTGCCTAGTAGCCAGCTGGTAGCTTACCGGAACGATGCCTATCCGTTGCTGGTAGCTCAGCTGGCATGCAACTTTTGTATTTATTTTCCTTTTCCATTTATGTATTGCGGCACAATAGTTGAGGTGTTTCCCACCTCTAGCTGACGTGTATAATGATAATGATGAATAAAACAAATATGTACACAGTGTTTAATTTCCGGTCAAATTTTAGACGGCAGGGTAGACAAAAAGATGACTGAAAAAGATTGACATGAATGTGCTGATATCAGACTCGACTGTCAAGGGGGTAAAACAGTCACTTTCGACTCTCCGGTGTCTCCTTCACCAAAAGTTCCTTGTTATATAAAGGACGCTCAGGTGAAAGTGGTGGAAACAGAGGGCATACGTGAAGGTTGCGAGGACACGAGACCTAAAAGAAGCAGAAAGTAATTCGAAGTAAAGTGACTAGACATCATAGAGAATGGTGAAAAAAAGCAGCGTAAAAATGGTCAAAACAAATCACCTCTTTCGAAGAAGACTCATCAGAAACAACGAATTCCAGAGCGGGTGCAGAACGGCTCGGATGAGAATTTTTTACAGATCGTTTACGGTGAGTAAGAAGCGGTCGTCCAGAAAGTTTGAAGTCTGGATCAATCTGACAATAAGCTAAGGTTCAATTCGACGGTGAGCCTACCCAATCACACTTGTCATCCGCTGGGGCTGTTCGTACATCCGGATGCAAATCTGATGAGCTGATAAACAGTGCTTTGCCAAGAGGTTTGGAAAAAGGAGGATACAAGAATGCTAATGGCGGGGGTACAACCTTTTTTCTATATTTTGGCATCAAGTCGAGACTTGACGCAAACACATCCGTTGCTGCTGAAAAGTAAGGAACATACTGCGGTAACAGTGATTACTTAAATATAAGAAATAACTGTGAAGAAAAACGACAACAAGGGGTTCGGGCACTAACTATAAAAATCTGATCGAGATTCGACCAAACGGTACGGTGCTTCAAATAGACCTTAGGTGATGTAAGCATTATCACGAAAATGGAAACAACGATCACCATGAAAAGCGACAGTCTGTGCACCGAATGTGCTAACATACGGGGCAAATGTCCCAGGCATCGGAGTCTAGAGCGTCGAATAATGAAGCTAAGTGATCCACTCGCTCATCTTGCATCGAACAAGTTCATGGCTCACGCGGTGTCCCAACATGGTGTGGGCTGACCTGCGATTGTACCGGTAGTCGGATGTGACAAGCCTCTTCACATATGATCATTTGTTGGGCCAGGTTTCACATCATCATAGTTGGGTTGTGGGGACGACCGCCTTCTACACTCACTTTCAGGGCGAGTTGTCTCACCGGTGCCATAAGGGGGGGGGGGGTTGGAAAATTCACAAGAGCAACTTGAGCTTTTGCTATGCGGTCAGTGACAACATATTTTACTCCACAAGCGCTGATACAGTTGCTCAGGTAGTTAAACTTCTGTACGACTCCTAGCTGATCCACACCAAGGTTCTGCGCAAGAGGAAGGTCACTGTCAATCTTAGTTGCAAACCAGAAGCAGAAATGGCCAACAATCACAGTTAATCTGTCTATTGTTGCTTGGCAAGTTTGTGACCCCACCACACACCGGTTTGGGCAATATCGTCAGCATACTCTAGTCAAGAAGGCAATCACGAAGCAGCACCACATTTTCAAAGTCGTGTCCAGTGAACACACTTTTCATAACTTCACCAAGGGAAAGTTAAAAAGGAAGGGTGACAGGGAATTGTTGTTCCATGCCGCTGGGGATATTGAGGGGCGGCGACAGCTTACTGTAAGCCCTCACACAGTCCGAGCTACACGCGTAAAGCGCCAGGATAATATTTGCATATATCTCGGGCATGTCTTTCCTTAACAGACAGTCCCAATGAACACATCGATTTGCCGAATCGAAGGCACCTTTGATGTCGAGGAACACGAATGCACTGGTTCGCCAACATATGTGACGATGCTCCAACACTTTATGTGTAGATGTGATGTTGTCTCGACTTGGAGGAAACATGGTATGCTCTTAGTAAATCTGGGTTTCATGAGTGCCTGTCGATCTGTTGAGGAATCAAGATGAGACGGATATCAGACTGACTCTTATATGACTGCTGCAATCCGAACCTGAGCGGCCGTTGAAGATAGGGAGTCTGACGGAGCTCCTCCATTCGGTTGGGGCAGTTTCTCACTCCCACGGTTCGACTAATAAATCGTGTAAAATTGCAACAACAGCTGGTTATCCGAATTTGGAGAGAAGTGAAGTATGTCCACCTGGTTCCGTGGTTCTATTCAACTTCAGCAGCCTGATCACATGTTTGACTTCATATGGTAGACGGTATCCGGTTCCGGATTTACCAGTCACTGCGACCAACATGGGGACAGACACAGGACGCCTGCGCCTACAGAGGTACCATGGGCGGCTTGTGCTGCACTACCCACGGCTCCATCTACACACCGCGTTTCCAGAGTAAATCCGAAAGAATGAGACCGGGAGGAGTATGAATGGTAGCCACGTTCCATCAACGGAAGGGGCCTGCATTTCTTTAACGTACACAGCAGCAGCTTTTTTGTCCATCTATATTCGGAGAGATGCGTACCAGATGTACACAAGGTGACTGAGCCGTAGCCCGTTCCACACTGTATGCATAGAACCACTCTTTGAGCCTTGCACGGTCACGAGGACCGTGTACTCATTCAACAAAGCCAAGATTCGCAGTCTCCTGGAACCAGTAATCGAGGTGGAAGTTGGTGGAAATTAGGCACGTCGCCATTTTCAGACACACCGGGGATATCAATTGACAGCCAACACCTGAAATTCAAGAGGCTAATTATGTAGGTACACGCACAGTCCAACTGCATAAATGGTGTAGCGTACTTGCTACATCGATCAGGTTATTGGCATGGATTATGAAATAGAATGGGACCAGAAGCACCCTACTTACCAAGCGCTGTACAGATATTCAGCTGACTCGTGTTCTTTTAGATGTTGGCCACACTTAGCCACGCTGGTGGCTTGTCAAGCCGAACCGACTTAGGCAATCGTGACCACATGTGCTACAGCACCATGCGCTCGATGTCGATGGTATGGACTCCATCGGTGCCTGGCGCTTCCGTAGCTGGCCTTTCTTTTTCGCTCGAAATACTGATTTCCCATGAACCTAGGAAAGCGCTTACTTAATATGTTCTCGGCATCACTTCCCAAATATTGAAATCAATATTAGTTCGTGGTATGCTCATCTTGATCAAATCGTAGCAACGTAACTTCCGTTCTCCCACGTTCCGCTTCATTGCATGCAGTTAGCCATAACCAGCTGTTTCGATATCCGGGCGGCGAACATGTTCGAGCCACCACAGCTGTCTCAGTGGAAGTATGCAGTCCACTGCAAACATGCTACTGCGGCTGAGCCGTTATGAGTCAAGAACTCTCCCACCAGAGCCGATGCGCAGAATACGACGCAAACACTGTTGTTAAAATCTCTCCAAATAACAGACGACCTTCTGATAAGGTGTTTAGGTTTTACTGCCGTAAAGAAAGGACAGAATCATCGCCTTGTACACAGTGTTGGATTCCACTTTTGCTTCCGGATTACTGTGTAACACGTGCTCTTTCTGTGCGAATTTTGCACCTACACTTTTCTTTCGATGTATTTTACAATCTGTACAAAGTTGGCGAATATTCTCCGCCTACGTTCGGAGAGATCATTGATTGTCCTAACTGTTGTCTGTGTCCGCCATCTTGGATTTCTTCAGTAATCTAACCTGGATGGAGCGGTCACGTGACCACAGGCGGAACTGGCATCAACGACCAACCTCGACAAGTGCAACTGCCTGGATTTATTTGAATTAACGTCAGCCGGAACCAACTCCTAGTGAACCGATAGAGAGAAACTAAAAACTGGTTGGTTTGTATCGCATTCGCTTATTTCTGCATTGACATTTTCCCGTAGCACAAACTCTGAAGATCTTGATTGAGCCGTTTATTTTCAACCTTCCCTAGGTACTTCATCTAGTCTTCTCATCAGTACAGTTCCCCTTATTATGGCACCCACAAGACCTAGCCTCACTCGACAAGACAAAACGAGTGTTTCAGACACCGCCCGAACAAAGCCAAGGAAAACGGAGGCCCCGACCAAACTGCGAGCCAGTCCTGATCCATTGCTACTCTTCTTTCAGAACTCACAGATAAGGTCCACTCTTTGGAATCCCAACTCTCCGAGATGAGAAAAATAGTAACCATCGTCGAATCAATCCGAAATCACCTGGCTTCATTAGACTACCTCAGTAACCCATGGAATAGTCCTGATCCAGCCCAAATGGGACAGGCAGGATAGTTAATCGCCTCAATTGCGTCTGAGGTACATGACCGAATGCATAGACTGAAAAATGTGATCGTTTTTAACCTTCCTGATAGACTTAGTTTGGGTAAAGTTAAAATTGCAGTACTTACGGCCTGCAACATGTCCGAGATTTAATGCAACTGTCTTCTTCCGAAAAAGACCACCTAAACACTGCTGCCCGATCGCTTTTAAATTTCCAACTGAGGAATCCGCGAACCGATTGCCGAGTAATCAGCTCATCGTAGCCCAGCGGACCCAATTCAAAGACCTATCGATTAAACCAGGTCGCATGCCTTTACAAAGATCCGTTAATGATCTTCGTCACCATTGGCGGCACAAACGGCTATTTGGGTTGTGTTCTCATACCACAGCTCAAAAGGATAACTTACCTAATGTGGCAATTGGGCAATTTGAAGTTGATCTCGTCAGTTCACCTCATATGACAAGGACCTCGAGCACCACCGTTCTTGACGATACTGCAATGTCACCTAAGCAAACTCCTACTAACTACTACCTCCCCAATCTTGACGTCTGTGGACCAACTGAATTGGATTCACCGTTCATAAATGATAAAGTAACTCCTAAACATCGGGAAGAGCTGACTATCAAGGGCCCTGTAGCTGTGTCGCAAGCTGAACTCAAAGCCCAAAGGACCCCCATGGCAGTCAATCCAATAACGTAGAAAACCCACAGCCACTCACCAGTTCCAACAAAAGATTTAAGCCTGTAATGAACACGGCAGAAACTAATAAGATCTACCAACATACATTGCACAAACACTATATAAAGCGACATCTTGAGTCGACAAAACCCAGAAACAAATGTCTTTTGGATACCCCTCGCCATAATTCCCTTCCATACCACAAAACAAGCTCAGTAATGATAGAATAAACTATGTCACGAAGCCAAGGCCACCTCCCATCCCGTTTCATATGTGTGCAGCCCTTTCCAACACCCTCAGTGTGACCGTATTTTAGTACAGGAGGGAATGGAGCGGCGGCCATTCCCATTGCTTACATACCTGGCAGAAGGCAACTATCTAATCCCACTGTAACTGCAATTTTTGCAGATGACTCGGCAAGCCAACTGTCACGCCAATCGCAAATTAGACTTTCTCCCTCAACCATCTCCATGTCCGAAGCAATATCGGCAATCACAAATTACCCATATCATCACCTCTGTTAAGAGTTGACGCGACCCCAGTACTCTCATATCTGACTAGAACAACGCGTATAACAACGAACCGCAACACGATGACCTCACACCCAATGGTCCGTTTTCTATACTTCTACTTAATGCCAGATCTATTAACAACAAATTGTACTTCCTAGGCATGCTTGCGCATATCAACGACCCACGAACAATCCTCGTTACTGAAACGAATTTCTTTGGTTGTCCGTCTCAGGAACCGGTTCTCACATTTTACACGGATGTGTTGACAATGCGCCAACTGCGAGTGTTACCATCATCA